GAGAACAACAGAATGTCCAGAAGTTGCTTCTGCATGGGAAAGAAAATAGTTATGGAAACACCAATTATTAGGAAAGCTGTTTAGGAAATTCCTAAACAAAAATGTGTTTGAACCCCAGTTATCATTGGCAGCTGGATTGTTCTCAGTCAATTTTGCTCACTTTGTAGAATTATTTGAAAGTCCTCAAATAGCTACCCTATCCCTCTCTCATGTCAATGGAAACAGTGGTTATTTAAGATACCTATTAGAGATTCAACCTACCAAAAAAATTCTCTATTTTGATATCTTGAGTTTTCCACTTGTTATGAGTAGAAAAGTTGTCCATTTTTTAAAAGTTGCAGAGTTAACAAGTTAAACCAATTGTTATTGTTAATAACTTCATGTTGTAATCACCTGTTGTTAATAGTTTTTCTTCAGTTACCTGTTAATGGTTAGAAATCAGCTCAATTGTCCCCCTGCTGCTTCCCAGAGGATTGTTGACACCTGAGGCTGCAGGTAGTCGGGGGGGAGGTGACATCAGAGCTGGTATGCAAATGAGGAAGCCCCTCACCAAATCTTGCACTAAAAACCCCTAAAACAACGAGCCAATATGGAATTAAGAGATCTAAATGATGTCTAAAGGTGAGGAACTTAATCCCATGTCTGTTAAGATCCTTTTTACCTCTCACCCTAACCTAGAGGAAGTTGACTAGAAAGGGGACCTCGAATGTCAGACCGAAAAGGGGGAATTTCCTACCCTCCCATGAGGACGGAAGCCCCAGCTCTGCCTGCAGACCACCGGACATAGCTGCATCACCCTCCTCCTCTCTGCCACTCCTGGGAGCACCCGCGGTGTGGGCGCGACCCGTTGGTTCGGTTCTCCCCACCTGATTTTTTTAATAAGGGAATTAAAAGGAAAAAGATCTCCTGCCCTATTTATTTCACACTGGACATGCATATGTCTCCTTGTCTATGTCTATACAGGAAATCCAGTTAACTAGCTTACACCAGTTACCTAACTCCTCTATCTTTAACTTAAGCAAGGTGCACCTTTTCCTAAATTTTATAAGACTGCAGTTCCTGGTTCAAATTCAGCTGTGCTGGTGTTAAGGTTGTGTTGTTAGTGATATGAAAGAACACCTCAAAACAAATTTTTCAAATATGATAATGAATGACAATGCAAATAAATTTTTACAACAAATTCATCTTTTCTCAAAAAGAATGAGCCCTTAGCCATGCAATCTGTATTTTGACAAAATTCCTCTTGAGAGGCATGGAGGAAGTGCAGGAGTTAAAGTTACAAGGTAGCCTCCTATATGGGACACGGAGCTTATAAAGCAAGAAACATAAAATTAGAGAATAATTTTATTATTTCTTGTTCAAGAAAGAAGACTACAAGTAGAAAGTAATGGATTTATACCAAATTTTTGAAATATTTTAGCAGCCAGCAAGGAAATATGGTGAATAATAATAAAGTGGAATCTGCAAGAAGAACATATAAATTTCTTCAGTTAGTACAGAATACCATGAAAAACTTACAAATCCTGTTTGGAGCAGGCCAGGGGAGCCTTTTGACAGGTATTGGATCAGGTCAAAGTGATTCACATCAAAAGGAATTATTTTAGTGATACACATGATGATAATCAGGGAAGAAAATATATATAATGATGGATACATATGCTTATTAAGTAAAACTCTTCCATGAACAGAGATAGAAAAAAGCAGGATGTTAGGCTGTATTGAGATAATGAAAGAAAATAATGCTGAAAATAATATAATGTTATGTGAAACAGGGATGCATACTCCCTGTGACCATGGCATTCAGTTCTGATCAAAAAGTCTTGAAGAGTGTGAAAATGGCTAAGCAAAAATTATTAAAGGCAAAAACCCCCTTGTTTATGAACAGAGATAAAAAGGATACTGAATAAAAGAGGAGTGCAAACAACTGCCTGCTTTAGAAAGCCATTGCAGATTTTAGGAGAATTCTTGGTGCTCCTTATATTAACAAAATGTTGGAAAATAGTAAAATATCTGAAGTTCTACCTGAAGATTTTTGGTGTAATTTGAAGAGGAACAATACCTACTGTGGTTTAAAGAACATAAATTAAATTTAATTAAATTTAAAAATTATTTATACTTAAATTCAGGAAGAAGAGGACTACATCAGACTTGCTTGTGTACATTGAAAAGCAACCTATTTACAGTGCAGAAAAAGAAACACTGCTTTACACTGCATGTAAGTATTCTATGAACTCATTTCCATTAGGAGATATTGAAGTTTTAGTCTGTCAAGTCTGAAAATGTTGTATGAATAAATAACACATATAGTCTCCCTAAGTAAAGCTGACTAACAACAATATCTGAGGCATTTAAGTTTTCAGTCATCAGGGAAAAAGTAAGTACCAGTATGCATTACTTAGCAACTGGAACAGTTTACAAAGGTTCAATTATTGTGACTCAGCTAACAAGCTTCAGCTCAGTATCATTGCTCTTTTTCTCTTCAGTACTCAAGATTCCAAGGAAGTGACAAGTTGAAAGCTAAACTAGGACTATCTGTAACTGGAACATTTTTACTACATTATTTATTTCCTGCATCTGTTTCTTCAAGACATGCTAAAAACTTTCCCCAAATTTGTGTTGTAATCTCTCCCCCTGCTGAAGCTTCCTTCATCAAGTTAGAAGTCACCAAATACTGTGTGACCATTTTCAAAAATATTTTAATTCCTGCTGAGCCCTGTGATTTGAAGCACGCACTCAATTCTTTTGAAAATGATATTTTAAACCTTAAGAATTAATATGCTATCATTAGCCAAATGCTAAAATTAGTCCAAGTCTCTACCCAGTCAAAAAAATAAACCCAGGATATCCTTAAACTTCGAGAAAATCTATTAACTTTCCAAATTATAAAACAATTTGTATAGCACTAGCTCAATTGTTTTTCACTGTCCATCAGTACTACTCCTATGAGGAATCAAGCTCTCATGCATCTTTTGTGCTCCCACTGAAATTAATGAGAAAATTTTCTCTGACTTCTTTCAGTAAAACCAGAAGAGCCAGTAGAGGGAGCACAAATACATAGAAGTAATTTTCTGTGGTTCCTATAAAAATGATAACCTAAAACAATATATTTTTTCATATCGTATTTACACTACATTTTTTCCCCTCCCTGATCAAAAATACTGTCTTGATTAAACTTCATGAAAGGCTGATTCAAGGTAAGGAGGTGGTGGCCCTTCTTGCAACCCCTGAGACCTCGGGACTCCATGTAAGAAAGAGGCAGAGGCTGAACACTGTGAAAATAGTATTGGCAAAATAATGTTTTCTACATCCATGGCACTGCTGGGCAGACCAGCTTAATGGAGAGCATCTTTGGCTCTGGGACATAATCTGTTCTCTGCAGACTGATATTTTTGCCAGCTGATCCCTGCACATGAGCACACAAGTACAGTACAGCAAACACAGGTTGGGCAAACAAGTACAGTACAGCATGATGTATCTAAACAATGCTCTCTACTTTGCACCCCTGCTCATTCAGCAAGCTTCAGCTTTCAGAGTTCGTCCCTTTGTTACACTTGTGTACGCTCTCTGCCCACTGACATTACTGGCAGACTATGCCTGGAAGAAGTTGTTTTGCTGCAGGACTCAGAAGGTGAGTTGCCCTGCATGTGAGAATGTCTCAGACAATAATAGAGGTCCTTAATCCTCCTAAATTTCATAAGTTTCAAATGGGATCTCAGGATTGCTATGATTTTTGAGTGCCTCCCCCATAATGAAGGAAAAGACCTAATCCCTTCAGGGGACTGGCTCAAAAAAAACCCCCATCCTACACACCCCCAGGAAACCAAATGTGAACTGCTGAGTTTCATATTTTATTGTCAGGCTTTCCTGTGGTGGAGAACATGCAGCCTGCCCTCAGATCCATCCAGCTTTGTTTGAAACTGTGTATATGCAACCATTGCAAAAGCATTTGCCAGTAGTGCAAGTACACTACCGTTAAAGAAAATAGAGTTAGGTAAATGATAAGTGCTTTGAAAAATGCTCATGGTACATACTACAGAGGATAGGATGGGCAAAAAATAGGTAACCAATGAAATATTTTCAGAACAAACAAAAAAGTGGCGTTAGAGATCCATTGGTTGTCTACTTCTAAATTTGATAAAATTTAGATAAAATAATCAGTTTGGAATTCAGGTGGCCTGGGATACTCAGCAAGATACAAGAAGATGCTCTGTGCCTGGAGGTGTCAGCAGGAATGGCAAAGCACTACTAGCAGTAGGAATGCTAAGCTGAACATTTAAGTGAGAGATATTTTTAAAGTACCTCTTTGGTAATCACATTTGATGTGTTTTCTGTCCTCAATTTCCCCTCTTTCAGAGATAAAAGGTAGGACTACAATTCATGCGCTACAGATGTAGGCATAACTAATGGATTTGACTCTGGAGTGCTATAAGAAGAGCTGCAGAAGTGATTTTTGGACCTCAGTGTGGTCACTGGATCCATCCTTGTCTGTCAACTACTTGCAACCTTACACTGAGTAATAATTTCTACAGAATACTTTCTGTCCATGCAATTATATATAATCATATCTGATTTTCCAGTGAGAAAATCCAATAAGATTTTATATTTTCCCTTGTTTTCCCTGCATGTTCCAAATAATTTCAAGCCTCAGTCTATTAGCTGACCACTAACTAAGGAACTGAACTTTATAGGCCAGATGGATCTCCTCTGGCTCATATTCCTACTGCATTTTCATTGCAGAAAACATCTCAGTTTGTCCTATACTGACCTTGAAAAGAAAAGAAAAAGTGGATAATCCTTGAACGTATAAATAAATTATAGAATAAGACATTATTATTACCACATATATAATATGCAGTAATACATTATGCAGGACAGAATTAATTTTTGTTATTAAAAATGGTAAAGAAGCAGGGGTTTTTAGAGAGGCCATGAGAGTGTCCATGAGGAGCAGAAAATTTCTGTGTCTGTTTGGGTAATCATTCAGGCTACAGACAATTTACCTGCTGGCCTGGTTTGAGCGGCGATAGTGTTATTCCCTGGGTATTGATCACTGGGAGTATCTGGTTGCCGATGACAGTGGCGATGATCTGACCCTGGGCATTGGTCAATAACTGTGGAGTTATCGGCTGCACCTGAAGTCCCTGAGCTCCACCTGCCGCCTGGCTGGACGGGACTGGATTAGGCATCAGTGGGATTGTTCCAATAATCTGGAAGAAACAACACAGGGAGAATGCACGCATGCCACATATACTTGCCACATGTAATTCCTTATATTCTGCATGTTGAATCAAACGTAGGTGATTAAGCACAGAGAGACTGGTAAGACAGGCTGAGGGTGGCAAAGAGTCATTCCTTCACTGGGGTGTTGAGGACTTTCCAATTTATTTGTCACATCACATATCACTTGTACATTTTACCGCTGTCCACTGTCACCTGTGGCAAATCTGCTGTGGCTTAGAGTGTATGAAACAAATCTTGGGTCACACTCTGGGCTCTGGATCACGGTTTGTTTCCACTATTCATTTTAACACAGAGTGAGATAGATAAAAGTATCAGTCTTTTTGTCTTGCTTTCTACATCATCCATATAATGGGTTACTAGTGGGGCTTACATAGTTTTACTTGATTTTCTGATACCTGGTACTCTAGATGACCACCTTTTACTCCCATGTGATCTCAGGAAGATACAAAGGGATGCTGGTACCCTTCACAGCATGCCTTATTAAGACACGTTCATAAAAATGCAGCTGGTTTTGGATGACAGCTATGAAGTACAGCACAACAGGAGGGCTGATGTTAGATAAAATATATTAGCTAACATTTCTGGGGCAAGTAGTTGCAGAAAGAGACACTTGTGACATCTCAGACTTGAGAATACAGTGATTTCCTAAAATGTGAATGTGCCTGTAAAACTAATATTAGGATGAGATGTCAAACAGATGTCGTAAGAAAGCTTGTCAGTCAATAAGCTGCTAGGCTAGAAAAAGTTATGCTGTTATAAGATTCTTTTTACAGGTATTAGAGAATCTGAAATAAACTTCTGATGAAACTTGGGTCTATACCCAAACTTTTTCTTTTTTTTCAAACAGCAACCTACGAAGCTGGAGTCACAGGATTGTTGCAACAGGAAAAATAAAAAAAGAATAGCACATCACTCTTTCCTCCGCCTTCTCTTCTCTCTTTATCATAGCCTCCCAGAAAACACCTACTCCATTATAAGACTTCCAGTCTGCCCTTTCTAGAAACCTTGCTTCTTCCTCTTTATCCTCAGTGTTCACCACACTGTATTGTCCATTCTGACTCCCACTAGAATGATCCCATTTTTTACCTCAGTGGAGGTAGAAATATTGTAGTTTTCCACAGTCTGTTTGTTGGTTCTCATTCCACTTGGGAACTCAGTCATCTTTTTAGATCCCTTTGTTTCTGACAAATTTTATAGAAATTAATCAGCTGATTCACAAACCATTAAGTAGGTATGGAGAGCTGAATGGACGGAAAGAGATGTATACATAGCATTAGACACAGAGTAGTTTCCTCACGAAAATAGGCTGAAGTATTCCTAATGGAACTCAAAAGCAAGTTTATTCCCCAAAATATATATATAAAACAAAACATATAACATTCCTATTGATTTCAACCATTAATTTATATATTATATCAGTGGAACCCATCCAATACAGTGTAAAATTAGGTCTAGAATAACTGTTTAGGGAAAATATCAGTTAACTTTTTGGGCAGACCACTAAGTTGCTTTATGAGAGTGCAAAAGTAGAACACCACTGAATCTCTTTCTGTGGATATAAAATGAATACAGGTGTGAAATGCATGGTGGAGAGTAACAAAGATATGTGAAGACGTCTGCCTACTGAAATCACCAGAGGTGACATACAACAACCCCAAAAAATCTATTCTTAAAAAAACACAATGCAAAGCTATCCAAATGATTGAGGTATACCTGTAGGGGCAGGTGGCTGTCATCACCCTCTCCCATTATTAGGCTAAAATATGACTACATTGAGTGACAGGATCCTAATGAGTGACTGTTCCTTCAGCAGTCACACCCAGTGATGTGCCTCTAGGTAGGCTCAACCATGAAGTACTGGGTGACAACCTACACTGACTCCCAGAACAAGAAGAGAGCATTGTTTGCAATGGCAGCTCAGGAAACAAGCACCAGGTGCTGAAGTTGTCATCAATTTACCAATTTTGCACAGTTAGAAGGCCTTAGCATGGGAAGACCAGAGAACCATAAAGCAGGACAGCTCTCCTGTGGGAGAACCTGATACAGCTACTAAGCTGTATTGTAAGAGCTGCATATATCAAGACTGTTCAAAAGACTGTAAAGATACAATTTAAGTTCTTAATGCATTGCTAAAAGGTAGACAGATCAATAAAGATTATTACCCCCATTTTATGGAGCATGAAAGTGAAGCACGGTGAAGCATATTCAGAGTTAGCCTTCTAAGCTGAAATTTCCTGAGAGTTTCTCTTCTCAGAGCACAATGATTTTATTATTTTATTTTATTTTATTTTATTTTATTTTATTTTATTTTATTTTATTTTATTTTATTTTATTTTATTTTATTTTATTTTACTTTATTTTACTTTATTTTATTATTTTGTTTTATTTTTGTCCCTAGCTGAATGGCAACTGCTTTCCCATTCATGTGAGAAGATGGCTATTCACTGAGGAGAGAGGCATTTATTTACATCATTATCAGATTTCAAATTGTTTTCTAAAATCAGACTTTCAGCATGAATGAAATACAACTGCAGTGCAGTACAACACATAAATATCTCTCAGATTTTGTGACCTAACATATTTATGGGTAACAAATATATTCTTTCATTTTTAATATAATCTCACCAAACACAAGAAATAATCCTTCTTAATTTTATCAGCGGAGACATATCAAAGGCCTCCCCTTCCTTTGCCATGTGAAGGACACAACCTTGTACTGTCATTACTCCAATGTAACTTTAACTATCAAGGTCCTAATCCCAGCAAAGCAAAAAATGCTGCGTTGGTGTTATCAGTAATAGAAATGTTTGCATTCACATTTAAAATGCATTTCTTGGACTACAGTTGGACATTTCATAGAATGACAATGCTGAAGTGGACAGTTTGTAAGGTCAGAAGCAGAAGGCTATCTATATGTATTAATGTGTGTCACACACCATACTGTACATGGCGTGCTGTACATGCACACAGACAGAAATGGAGCAGGAAAAAACACAGAGGGAAGATGTGTTTCAGAAGGGCAAATGGCCAAATGCCCTCAGGGGTGTTACTGTAGGACCCAAGGGTGAATCTTATTTAGAAACAGAAAATTACTGAGGTTTAAGAAGATTTTATCTCCTTTTTTACCAAAGTAAATTCTTGTCTGATTAAGAAAAAGATATTCACTTGTCTGTACTTAAACAACAGGGCTACTCATTATTGCATGCAGCTTTGAGATGGATAAAATTGGATTCAGGTTTCCCCTTTCAAGTTCCCCCTTGTCCAAGTACCTTCTCCTAAATATCCTAATTGCTCACTGTTTCACACGTAACGAGTACTACAACTTGATCCCTTCCTTGTGTGACTGACGCGATGCTGAACCACATCCCTCTTCCCTCTAATTTTGGTATGAAATTTCACCCTGGGCCTTGCTAATCTGTCCTCTTAAATTATTGTACAAGTTGAAGACAATTTTTGGTTTTGATACATTTGAATTTTGTCAAGAAAGAAAACAAGGCCATGCCACAGGCTTAAGGCACTGGCGTGCCACAGTACAGACTATTTAATTGTCAGTGATTTCCCGAGTCGGGAGGCATTGCTCCTTTCTAGGAAATGCTGCTACTTCAGATTATATTCAAAGATGGTTCAGGAATAACATGTGACAGGGACTCATCCCAAGAGATACTTACAGAGCCACACAGAATGGTTTGAGTTGGAAAGGGCCTCTTAAAGACCATCTAGTTCAATTCCCTAGCCATGGGCAGTGATGTATTTCACTAGATCACGTTGCTTAAAGCCCCATCCAACACTTCCACAGTGAGAACACATTCCACAGTGAGAACACTTCCACAATGAGAACACATTCTACAATGCTATGTCTTCTCTGAGACAAAGCAGTATAGCCTTCTTACTCTGCCAACACCTGGACTCAAATTCTTAAACAGTCCTACTTGTCAAAAATGTTCTCGAAGGAAAAAAACCACATCCCTAATAGTTCTCATGCTACAAAAGTATAATTTTTAAAGTTTTGAGTGTTTTTTGTGTGTCTTTTACAATTCCTTTTACACATGCTACAATTGAGAGGAAGCACTGCTCACAAAGGAGTTGCAAAACAGATGGCATATGCAAAACAGCAATCAGACAGTTTTGAAAGCCCAAGGGTTAATTCAAGGGACTGCCTTGTCAATTCTTCTCTGAGGTAGTTAGGCACAATAATTCTGCATAGCACTGTTGATTAAAATAAATTACACCAGGTTGTATCCTTATGAGGTACAGGTTCCTCACAGAGGTACAAAATGCAGTTCGGGTGGAAACTGTACAGAGATATTTAATGTAAATTCAGACTTCAACTTTTTTTTTTGTAGAGACAGGGTTTTCTTCCTCCTCTACTAATCGCAAAGACTGCAATTCTGGCCCTCTTCATGTGACAGAGCGTTGCCAGAATCCTTGATGGAGTCAGATTATCACTTCAAGTATTCAGTATGTTTCTTTCCTTTTTGTTCCTGGATTAATAGATACATCAATTGTATCAAGCTGCTTAGAGAACAGTTTTTGCAGAAATTAATTTATTATTTTTCTGCTTCCCAATATTAACTAAATTTTAAAAGTCAGTTGTTTGTTTCCAATTTTAAAAGAAATCTGGGGTGATTTTTAACAGCATCACAACAGAAAACAATATTTTCTACTGATTAATCTCTTTGTGTGATTTTAGCAACCTAGGATTTCAAGATACCTGACATCGGATCTGTCAGATCATACAACTTGAACCTACCATTGTCAAGATGACTTCTGCAATAAAATTGTAGGGTTTGGCTTGCACATGAAATTAATTTGTCAGCCTTCACCTCCATACCAGGTGTAGGCCCAATGGTCTTTGCCTACACAGTCCTGCAAACTGCAGTGAAAGAATAGCACACAAGTAAAGTGAAGGTAAAATCCCAAGTAATGGAGCTGACCACGGAAGGGTTAAATCTCTCAGTATATGAAT